GTTGAGAGTCACAGGATTCAGAAGTAGAAGGCATGGCATTACACTACACTGAAATGTTGATGACAATGTCACAATGGGTGCTGGGCAAGAATATGAGTGTGGTATTTATTCAACATTGATAATTTGGAAACCCTGAACTCTGTACTGCCTGCAGGCTGCTCCATTACAAGTAATTCATTTCAATGCTAACATTGCCCTTGGCAAAATGGATCAAACAAGCTAACATAACATTGTTCCATACGAACGAGATTAACAAGACCAGTAATTCTGTCAGAAAACGTTACACTTTTTGCCGTGTACAAACAGCTCAGCTACATACGTTGGCACTTTCTGCCACGTACAAACAATTTGGCTATGCAAAAAGCCAAGCAGGGGTACCTACTACAATGAGAAAATGTACTTTTAGCCATTTCAGAATACATATACAAAATTACATTTCAGCAACTCTTCTTCAGGATCACATAACCCATGAAGTAATATTACTGGTTTTAATTCTAAAGGCAGAAGCCTGATACAACTTCTTGAGCCATGAAAGCCTCTTAAAGCTTCCAGAATTCAGTCCCAAGGCAAACAAATTTAAAGGAACCAGATGCAATTTGATGATATGCATTTTCAAATTTTGACATTTTATCCTGAGTACCTAAATCTTCCTCCCTTTTCAGTTGTCATCCAGCATTCAAGAGCTTTGCTTGTGCTTTTCTGCCATCTCAACTTCAATGATTGATCAATAAAACCGTATCATGGTGACTGGGGACAATGCAATTGCTTATCCTAATTATCAAGTGCCAGCCATCCTCAGGCCAAATAATATCACTCATAATGCACTCCGAGAAATCCTTCTTTGTATATCTTGAAAATGTTCTGTAGCTCCTTCAAAGAGAATCTCATATGAGATCGGAGCTTCCTTCCACTGGCTCAAGGCATAACCTGAACAAAGGCAACTGTCTTCTAGACTGGTACAATTCTCCACACACCGCCCCCCCCCAAAAAAAAAAAAATAATATAGCTAACCTGATGAAAAACGAAGCTTGCTAGCATGAACCATCAATGTCTGAATTAATGACTGAATACAATGAAATATTTTTAGATACAGCAGATCTGATACATGGCCAGGTGGTGGGGGTTAGTTGATCTGTTGATCCTCAAAAACATAGGTACAGGATACGCCTACCTCATATCAATACTGTTTTTCCTTTCCATTTCCACAGTCTGATAAGTAATTTATGCTTCCTCCTTTGAGTCACTTAGTACCCCCTACTTAAACTTCTGGTTTTTTCTCCGATACACATTTTCAGGTACCTGTTCTGCCTGTTAGACTTTATTAGTTGTGGTCTGTCTTATTTTCTCTACTTGTGTGAATTTTTGAGAAATTCCCATCTCAAAGCAGAGAAAACTTTTATCTTGCTTAGCAGTCCAGTGCTTACCATTGGGCCCTACTGAAAAAGAGAATCATCAACCCTCATCCCAAGGGAGACTAACTTCTCCCTGGACTTCTCCTTTAATAATAACAATAATGTTTGCATACTGATTAAACATTGTCACTTTCACATGCCTGTTAAAATTCTGAAAGCAACAGGAAAGAAGAAATAAAGCATCTTGGAAAAAGGAAAGTATGTGAAAGTGTGCTTTATGGAAGTGTATACATATTCAGGATAAAACTTGAGCCTTCCTTTATAGCTGTGAATATTCTCAGACACAGTAGGAGCCACATACCATTGCTTTATGGAAGCTAGGATAAAGGCAACGACATCATTTCCTACTTTTTACTACTTAAACACAGACCCTTCCTAGCTTCAGGAAGATTTACTTTGTGTCTCAACATATCAGGAACTGGGGGCATGAAGAGGCAATATCAGCCTCAGGGCCTCAACAATTGCTGTCCAGATCATCATCATCTACTGCCTGGACAGAAAGAGAGGAAATCCCTTCTCCCATCTTCCCACAGAATCTGCTGCTACAGAGCCATTCAAGTTAAACTTAAGAGTGGGCAGGAGAGGTATGGATAATTCTGTCTTGAAGACTAAATTGATTTTATATTGCTATTTTAATTTATGGCACTGGAAAAAAATATTACCATAAAGCAATCATTTTTCACCCAGTAATTCATGGATGGTTTTGCAGAACTAAAGTATAACCCTTATGCACCATAGTGTAAGAGGTGGAAAGAAAGATAAATGGAATCAAGCAGAAACACAAGAACCTTGTCTATTACGGGGAGCATGGGAGCACTGTATAGAC